ATGAATATCAACGAAACATGGCATATCAAGTTGCAGTAAGACTAAGCACCTCCCCATGTATAAAGGCTGGGCAAGGTGACCCAGTATGCTCAGTAGGGTCCCAAAAGCCAGTAAAAGAGTCATGGGCTGCCCACTAGGTTTTTAACTTGATGTATAGAAAGGGAAGAGACACTTGTCTGAAAAATATGCATGGAAGGACAACTTTGAAAGCTTGATTTTTAATTTGAAGAGAATTTCTAGAAATTTTAAGTTCAATTTACTGATTTCTGTGCATTTTTATTCAACCGTTTCCTTTATTCTTAAAAAAAAAAAAAAGAAAGAAATAGGGTCCCCACCACCACCACCAAGGATTGAAGATGTCATGATTACACGAGGCTTATAACTATTTTGTTCTTTTTTACATGAAGGGGCCCATGCATGCTTTATGCCCCTTCAGTTTAGGAACAATATTTCTTCCTTTATTTCCTCTATTCCTTTTCTTCAGAGTTTTGCTGCTTACGTCTTAAAGTTCCTGAACTAAAGGATCTCTTCATTTTGTTACTGATTCTTGCCTATTTTCCATCATTTTGCTTTTGTTGTTGTTGTTGTTCTACATTGTGGGAGCTTTCATTCCAACTCTTATCTCTCCCTACCTTATGATTATTTAATTTCTTCTATCATGTTGTCAATGTTCAGTTATTTTTATTTAAAAATTTCTTTTCTAAACAGTATTGAGGCATCTAGGCAGTGGTACCAGGTCCTGTGCTCAGTGCATGAGTTGGCTGTTTGAAACCTGGGACTTATGCAGGGACGCTTGGCTCAATCTGGGATGAGGGGACTGGACCTGCCTGGACTGAGTCTACCAGGTCGATCTCAATTCTCCGGGGAGGCTTTGCCCTGGAGGAGGTGGGAATGGGGGGTGGGCTAGGGGGAAGGGGAAGGGGGCAGGAGGGGGAAGAACAAGGGAATCCGTGGCTGATATGTAGAACTGAATGGTATTGTAAAATAAAATAAAAAAAGAGTTATTAAAAACAAAAAAAATTAACAGTATTGAATTATCTTTTTAGAGATGTCATATGCTTACTTTTCTGTCTGCTATTAGTTGATATTTTAGATATATATGTATACATTATATATATATATAACTTTTACAAATAATTTTTGATTTAAGATTTAATTATATGGATCACTTATTATATACCCAAAGCAAACAAAAAGGTTATTGCTTCTTTGATTTCTTTTTTCCGTTGTTTCTATGGCTTTGTCTTTCATAGTATGGACTTTGATGAATATTTGTCCACATTTGAGAATAAATGTTTAAAAGCTGGTTTGGAACCACTGACATTTGGAGAGGGCTTGTTTGGCTAATGTGAGTCTGAGCATGGATACTATAGTTTCATAACACAACCCCCATGTATTGATATCTGTCAACGTTCCCCTGTTCTGTTCTCTAAAGAGGAATCTTTCAACAATCTGAATGGGATTGGATGATGTTCCTGGATATTGATAATGCTTTAGTCAAATGCCTTCCCCTAGCTGTTGTATTTCTTGTCTCTTTTGGTTAAGGAGGCTGCTAGATTTGGCCCCATGCTTTCCTCTCAAGCCCCATCTTTCCCAGAATTTTGCTGCCTCAGAGAAGTTTTCCTTAGCCTGGCATCTAAAATCCTGTCCTTAAATCTTGATGTGTATACCATATGCCTTCTCTTTGCTTAATATTTTTTAATGTTATCCAATACCATATATTTTATTTCTATTTAGTTGTACATTTTACTTGTTTTCTTGTCATGGGATATAAATTTAAAGGAGGTGGGTATTTTTGTCTCTTTTATTGATGGCTATATTCCTAGAATGTGTGTTAGATTCATAATAAGTCAATAACATTTGCCACTTACATATTGAATTAATACCTTCAAAGTGTCTTATTATTAGTGTTTTTCTTATCTTTTTCATATTTCAAAGTTCTTTTGCATTTGTTTAGCTACCTGTTTTCAGTTGCCTTGTGGTTTCATGATTTTATATTTTAGTTTTTGGGCCTTCTGAAATTAATCTTGAGATAAGGTAAGAGAATGTAACATTCATAGTTTCTTTTCACCTGTTTTTTTCTACTCCTTTTCCTTGTTTTTATCTTTTCCCCAGTGAACTGAATTCCTCCTAATGTCTGAAGAAATAATTGCTTTATTCTTTAGTTTCTTTTTCTTTTAAAATATTCATGAATAAGGAAAATCAACTTTGTTTTAAATGAAGTCACATTCACTTTGTCTGCATATAAATATTACTTGCTATTATAGAGCTCCATTCAACATCCTCTCATGATAATCTATAGATAGCCTAACAGGGACATAAATACCACAAATGTGTTTCCTTGTGGTGGTTATGATTCCTCTGTCCAACTAATTTTTCCCAACATATATCATATAGATTCAGAATATTATCATCTAACATGTAGAGGTTAAGGTGAGCTTACAAATATCCTGAATAACTTGCATTTTATAAAATTAATTTATATTGTCCAGTTTTTGAGGTACGTTTTATTTTCCTTTCAAAAATCCTAAGTGTAAGCGTAGTCCTCACTTTGTAGCATGTCATAGGACTAGTGATGCTGTGGATTGTTAAGATACACCATTGGTTTAGTTATCCATGTGAATCCTTGCAGTTATTTCCCATGCTTTCTTTTTGTTTTCTTTCCTTCCAGGTTCATAACAGCCCAAAGTGCCTTGGTTCCGTGTATTCTTGTTATCGTTCCATCAGCTTATTCTTTTCAAACCAAGAGGAAATTAGAATATATGGTCATGAAATAAAAATGAATGGAATCAGGTAAGATGAAAAAAAAAAGGTCTATGAACACGGCGTCAGAGATTCACTGACATTTCATATGTCTCAGACTGGAAGTGAGTGACAGAGAGCAGAGTAGGGGACTTGTTCTTCAGCTGACTTTTACAGCAGTGTCACGGAGACATCACACCTTCAGTGGTGCTGAAACCCACCAGGCCACTAGGAATCCAGCTGGTCCCCATCCCAGTGTGTATGATGCGGGTGTGTTTGCAGATGTGCAGCCAGGATTGCCATCTTCTCCCGAGGGTGTCATCAAAAACTATCTTTATGGAGTTTAATCCGGATTCCTTTTGGCTTCTTCAATGTTTTCTCTTTCACTTCACAGAACATCTTACAAAAAATTGACTTTCTTTTCTCTTGGAAGGGATTCTGGAAGTCCTCCCAAGTCTGTGAGAATGAGTCTTGGGTGTCACTTGGGGGTTTGCAGTGGGAACTTGACAAAGACTCTGAGCCAGTAAATAGCTGTCCCGTTGATAGATCAGAGCGGCCACTGTGGCTTCCTGCCTGCCAACAACATGACCTGAGAGTTTTGGGGAAGGGGATGTTTATATTAGACAAGGGTTTTATACAGTTAAAACTGGGAGTCATGGGGAATAATTTCCCTTCCAATCTAAATAATTACAAAGACACCCAGTTTGAAACATTTCCTAGTTCAGCTATGCCAGAAAAAGTAAATAGTGAGATGGAACAGTTTTATCCATCATTCAGAACTCGCTGTTGGGTGTGTGAACCATGGGATTCCTTCCAATAGTACACTGATGATGTTTTTTCTCCATGGGGAGTCAGCCAGGGCCAGGAGCACTATTGTAAAAAGGTGAGCTTCAGGGAAACATCGTGTTAGTCTGCAGCCAAGAGGAGCCCTCACCCCATTTGGAGATTATTTAATTTTTAATGCCTTTTTCTTTTGGTACAAGGTCTTGTCCTATGTTTCTTCTGTCCTAGTGCTTACTATATATCCCAGGCTGGCTGAGAACTCATAGGAATCCTCTTTGCATAAACCTTCTGAGTGTTGGGGAAACAAGCATGGACCACAAGGCCCAGATTTCTGGGCTTCTTGTTTTCTTTTCACTTTCTGTTATTTTGTTTTAAGCAAAATTTGGATTTGTTTTTAAAGTCTTAGGTTTTAGTACAGATTTAAGCAAGGATGTTAACAAAGAATGGGAGGACAGTAGTACATGCCATAGAATCTCACCACACACACACACACACACACACACACACACACACACACACACACTCACACATGCACACTCACACAGAGAGGGAGAGAGACAGAGAGATGGAGAAAGACAGAGAGAGAGAGAGATGGAGAGAAACAGAGACACTGAGAGACACAGAGGCAGAGGCAGAAGATACTTGATTATTTTCTTCTAAAACAGTGGGTCTCAACCTGTGGGTTGTAACCACTGGAAAACAGGTATTTCCAATGGTCTTAGGAAGTGAGGCACCACTCAGTAGCAAAGTTACAGTTATGAGATAGCAACGAAAATAAATTTATGGTTGGGGGTTCTTAAGACCGTTGGAAATATGTGTTTTTCAAAGGATACAACCCACAAGTTGAGAACCACTGTAAAGAGAAAGCTGACCATTTGAATGGAAGATAATATATTTAAACATGCATTTTCTAGAGCTGACTTTACATGATAACTTACGAATTTTCATTTGGGCTTTTGGTAATGGGCACTTAACAATGGTCATGTTTGGTAAAATAAGTTTTCTTCAGGAAAATTTTTAAGAATACTAATCATTTGTTAAATGGAAGGCTTAATTGATTTCAATAATAAAAAGAATTCTACAAGGAATTCCAGTTGTGTTATAGATAGAGGGTGAATTTATTATTTGGTAATGCTTCTTACACTAATACATTATTATAATAGTCATATTTACCATTATTATTATTATTATTATTATTATTATTATTATTATTATTAGTCATTAGTCTAGTAGGCTCTTGAGAGGGGTCCAAAGAGGTCAAATGTGTGTGGCTCTTATGTCTCTGGCTTTCAGTTCTCTGAACTATGAAGTAAGGAGTTTTGGTATAGATGAACCCCTGGGTACTTGCTTAGCATAAATCTGAGTATCCCTGTCTGCTTACATTGTACATTTCCAGTTATAGATGGAAACCCAAACCCCACACACATCTTGCATACAGTGTGTCTTAGACTGATTGGGGTCTATTCTCCTTCTACCATTCTCCTCTTCATCAGCACCCTTCTGTGTCATAAACATCAAGGTGATCACAGATACCCAATTTTCTCTTAAAAGTACTTAATTAAATTTACAGTGAAAATGAGCTGACACTCAGAGATGACTGACAGATAATCACAGCAAAATCCCCCTCACCAGAACTATATCTCCCACAGATTAGCATCCCATTAGTGTAAAATGTGTTTATAAAATATGGTCCACTACTTTGAAATACAGATTTTTATAAACTTGTAAATACAAACAAGTAATATTTATATTGTTGTTTCTTACTGACTTTTACTATGAAGTTTTTACATTAAGCTTTTAATCATAATTTTTTCTGAACTGGTCTTTTATTCTCTAATTACAGTTCATAGTGATTTCTCTTTGCTTGTAACTATTTTCTGTAAATATTTGTGTGTATAAAAGCTTTGTGTTAATGGGAAGAGATTTTATAGTGTTTCTTTAGGAATTATCTCTTAGTTTGCTTACTTCAGTTTTTGTTGGGCAGAGCTATGCTCTTTCTAGAACAGAAATTACTAATTTGAATTTTTGAGAGAAAGGTATGACTACATCTATTAACCACCTATCTTACACCGCATTTTATAAATTTATTTTGATATGACTCCCTTAATAAAAGTGAGCTTCTCAAATTTATTTTATGATTAGGGCCTGTTCTTTACTGCACCATTTATAAATGGAAGGAGGACAGTGTTCTTTTGTTTTTGAAGTGACTCATTATGCCTTTGCAATGTCCATTTGGTTAGTCCTTTTTGTTTGGAAGTAAAATGAAATAAAATCAGAGCTCAAAAACATCTGAATACTTTGAATATTGCTTGTCTGTACTTCACAACTGTTAAGCAGAATTTTTAGATTATCTTTAGCTGTCTGGATAAAAAGTATTCTTTAACCCTCATTCTACCAAATTAATAGAGGTAGTTTCCACATTGAAAAGATTATACATAATTTTCAGCTGTGTATTTCTGGTTTTTGAAACAACTACTAAATTGTAAGTATTACCTCAACATCAGTGGCATCTTCTTTGTATTTTAATTTAAATATTAAGTGTTGAAATTTCCCAGAGAATGAAACTTTTGGGGGATCTCCGCGTATAGCTCATTCAACAACTCTGTGTAAAAATTCTCTGTCAATTATTACCTGAATTGTCTTGAGAACATGGCATGTACAACTATGACTTGGTCATGGTTCAGATATTACATTGTTCTGTTTTCCAGTTTATCTTTGCCTCAGACAGTTGGCCAGGTGTACATCGAGAAGCTAGCTGACTACATTCTGGTGAAAACTACCTTTGGCTTTTCGTTGGCTTGGGATGGAATATCGGGAATTTACCTCAAACTGTCTGAGGAGCACAGAGGGAAATCTTGTGGCTTGTGTGCAAACTATAATGGCATTCAGTCCGATGACTTTGTGATTCATCAAGGTAAGAAGATGGAACATGAGAAAGGGGTGGGCCCTTTAGAGTCCTCTTCCTTTGGCCAACAGCAGTTAATAGCTAGAATACTTGACTAATGGTAGAAAATCTCTGGCTACCATTTGTCTGCTTTGGTCATTTCAAGTGGAGGTCAAGTTGGAAAATGTTTTCTGGTTACTTGACAACATTTGCTATGCTAAGATGCAGCATTTGCTCACATAGCAAACGTTAACTGAGCATTTAGTTTGTATCAGGAGTTTCAGTTGCATGGGGACTTGGGAGCTGGCACTGATCAAAATGTGGAATTCCCCATTCTTGGAGTTCATATTCTAGTGATTTAAACCATTTGGCTTGAATGTGTTTACTTTAGGAGAAAATCTATTTTGTATTCTGTCTTGACAGTAATAAAGTAAAATGAGTGGCAGATGATAGTTTTGTAAAGGTGATGAAGTCAGGTTTTGTCACTTCGCATAGTAACTGGGAAAGATTTTACATGCCTTCCTGGTCACCTGTTGAGTCTAAGGCATGAAACTCACCTCAGTGAGTCACTAGTAACAGAGTCCATTTCTATTTGGAGACTGCTGAGGGGTAAGAACACAAGCCATAACCATGATTCAGGTCCACATAAAGAGGCCAAATAAAAAAGAACATTGCTCTTAGTACCAGTGGACCTGACCTTCTACCTTCTACTCTTCCATATTTCTGAGATTGGATCATTGAGTCTTTTCATTGCTGTAAAAGAGGAACATAGCAATTCTTGACTTTTAATGTAATCAGTGATAGTTAAAATATACTTTATTGTCTGTCATAATGTTTAATAGGAATATATAGCAACATTATTCCTAACCCTGATATCATCTTGTAAGCATTTAGTATTTTCTTAATTTACAACAACATCACAGCCTCCAGTATAACGCAACTTTCAGTTGATTCTATTAGGGTTGATTAGATGTTATTAATGGCAAACAATTGCCTTTAAACCACAGTTTGCTATATAATAGTGTTTGTTTTGTATTACAAAGTTAATGGTAGTTGTCCATATAGGTTGTACTTTAATGGGTGTTAAAAGAACATTCTAAAGTGTGTATTCTGCAAGTCAGAATGTGGGATAAAATTCTGCTTTGTTAATTATTACATTTTCTAATTTTAATGATGCGACAGTATATATTTCACAGAGTGGCAAAGATTAAGTGAGACAATTCCTGCAAACATGTAGATTTCCCAGCATGTAGATACTACTCAATCCATTTTATTTACTTTGTAATTGTCTCTAGGTATCCCACAGGAGCAGAAAGGTGTTTTTGTATAATTTTAACAAGCCCTTAGTAAAATGCAAACACATTACTCATACTACATGGATAACTTATTATCAGGGCTAATTGACCAAGAGATAGATTAGAGAGCCTAGCTCCACTGAGTCAGTTTCCTCATATACAGAATAGAAATAATGAAAACAATCCTCAGTGTCTCCTCATCTGTGAATATCTAATGAGAAAATGTAAATGGAATGTTCAGAAGTCCACAAGTATAGTATAAATATCCAGTACTAGGAACACTTGGAAATGGTAACTTATCCATTGGGTACTGGGATTGAAAAGCCTTACAACTTTGGAATCTGGAGACTATGTTTGGAAGGAGTATTTGGAACTAACACAGAGCCAATCAAATGACAATTATTGATTAATTTTCTTTCTCTCTCAAAGTTTCATGAAATATGTAATAATCACTCCAGTTCTTAGTGTGGGAGTTGGACAAGATTGCTTTGAATGACTTCCACCAGGACATTCAGGGAGCCTGGTGTGGAGGTGAGGATGGAAGGCAGCATCTCTCTTGTTAGGGACAGGAAGATGGGCTAGGCATCTGTGTGCACCCAGGAGCTCTGGGGCAGAGAGTGATTTTTGGCAGTGAAGTAAGTGAAGGCAACAAGCAAAATCCTATTAGGTGATGAGCAGTGGGAAGATTGGCAAAGTTGAACTGAATTAGGGCTGAGCTGTCGGGAGGGAAGAAGACAGATTCTTGAAGACCAGGAGAAGTCCAGAGAATGGCAATTGGCTCTTTCACAATCTGGTACGCAGCACAAGGTAGAATTTTTAAAGAAATCTCATTTAAAATAACTTATAAGGCCATAAAACAAGTCTACATTTGTATTTCTCCCTAGACTGCAAAAATACAAGGCAATTTCCAGAGGTGAGTGTGCTGTCTTTGGCTCTGGTGTTTGCTTGAAACCCAGCATGTGCTTTGCTGATCAGATCAAAAGTTGGATCGTTTGATGAAATACTAACTGAATATGCAGACTCCCAAGAGTAATTAGAACTGTATTTCTCTTTGCATTCCTGCTTATCCTTCAAAGACGACTTCACCAAGAAACGAGACCTTTCAGAATTTCTGTGCAAGGAGGAAGGACTTAATTGGTTATCTAGTGGAAAATTCCATTTTCCTAGGTCATGTCTTGGTCTTGCTTCACGCCAACACAAAGGTCCTAGTTTACTCCCATTTCCCTGACTTGAAAATTAGCAGTACTTCTTTACTATCAATAGTGTTCCTGTGCACTCAGTGGGTTCTTTTCCTTTCAGCATCTTTCACAGGAGGCACGGTAATTCTGGTTTAGTGGGCTCCTGGACTAACAGATACGGATTTAAAGTCTCACAGTAAACAACGTATATGACTCTTTTACAATGCGATGTAGTAGAACTAGTTACATGTATGAGTCTGAAGCTAGAAGTAGAAACTCTAAGGCATTGCCCAAGCTGTTTTGTAATACAAATGTGGAAATAATTGGGACTTTTGAAAATACTTTTTGTTCTTCAGACTTTAAAAAGGTGGTATTTTGAAATAAAACATGGCTATAGCTTTACTTAAGGAAAAAAAAATCAACTTTTCCACTTTTAAATAAGTATTTTACAACGGGTTTTGTTCTGTGTGTAATGTTTCCAGCAATTTCAGTGATCACGAAGGATGCTAGACATGCTTGGAAGATCAAGAATATAATTTAATAAATATTTAACAGTCATCTATGTTCTTTATTCATTTATTTGGTCAATATATTTGAGCATGTGCTATAAGTTAGATATTAAACTAAGGATACAGGAATAAAACTGTGAAGCTAGTCTCTCATTTATTGTCATAGAAAGTAAAATAAATAAGGACACGAATTAAAGTGTAATTTTTATGAGAAATGGCAGCCTTGATGGAAAGTGGGAAATGAGATAAGAACAATAGAACAATATGTGTTGGCAATGATCTAGAACTTGTTTTCAGAAGGTCACATTAAACGAGTCTTAAATGAAGAGAGGAAACTGTTGGGAGAGTGGTTTTTTTTTTTTTAATTTGTTCACTCTTACAATAGTAGGAATTGAACTTATGGCCTTGTACATACTAGGCTAGAGTTCCATCACTAGCTACACCCTTGGCCTTCTTCTTTTGAGACTGACTCTCACTAAATTACCTAGATTGACCTCGAACTCAATTGTAGCCAGGGAAAACTGTGAGCTTGAGACCTTCCGGATTGGCATCCCAGAAGAGTGGTTTTGGAGGAGGAGGCCCATGAAAGCCGTGAGTTGTGAACAAACAGTCCCCCAAACCAGGTGGCTGGAGAGGATTCTGTAAGAACTGGAGCAGGAGACTGAGTTGGGAGGCATGAGGTAGGGATGGCAGGTGCCCGCCCTGCCCGATCTTCTAGGCTATAGGCGAGTTTGGAATGTAACATAAAGAACAAGCATTCCTGTAAACAATGAATTTAACCAAAGTTTACTAGGAGCCCACAGATAGTAGCTTCCCTATCTTGAATTGCTCAGGGGGAGTGGGGAAACATTTCACTTGAGATTTGGATTAGTTAGTACGGTTATTGCCACCCATAGCTGACCTCCGACCATCAAGTCTGGATGGCAGAAAATCTGAAGCTCCAATCTGAAATCCTCCTGTCTTAGATGTTTCTGCCAGGCCTGTGAGATGTGAGATTCAGCCTTTTTCTGGCTATGGGGCAGGATTCATTTCCATATCTTGTCTTGAACTTCTTCAAAGGCCAGGTGGTACCACATCTTAAATCTGATCTGTTGCAGGTCATTCACCACCGAATGTCTGCTGGGTCATATATGAACTCCTTAATCCTGCCCCTTAATTATTCTGGGATCAATTGGGCTTCTTAATGCTGGGACCCTTTTAAAGCATGCTTCAGCCCACTCTTCGTCATATTTAGATGAGATAGATGCATTTCTTAGCATTATTTCCTTTGGGTCCTTTTCTGTTCTCTCATAACCTATATGTGTGCTTTCTGAAATGATTTTATGGTTCCAATACTTTTGTTGTTGTTTCCTCTCAAAATGGAAGAGAACTTTAAAAATGTGTGCCTGTGTTTAGATGTGTATGCGAGCATTTACCTCTGGAGACCAGACGACAGCCTCGGGTTTCATTCTCAGGAACATCGCCCACCTCTCTGGAAACAGGGCCTCTCACTGTCCTGGCACCCATCAAGTATTCTTAACCTCCTGGCCAGTGTGCCCCAGGGATCTGTTTGTCCCAGCCCCCCCCAACATTAGCATGACAAGTGAGCCCCACTGTGCCCCACATGCTTACATGGGTTCTGGTGATCAAACTCAGGTTCCCACGCTGGTGTGGCAAACACTTGCTGGCTGGGACCTCTTCCTCATCTCCTAAGGACAATTTTAATAAGGTTTGTGAAAATGCTTCTGATACAACACTGTTTGTGTCTGTTTGCAATAGAGGACTACACGGAAGACATTGCTATGTTTGCAAATAGCTGGCTGGTGCAAACTCTAGATGACCCTAAATGTGTACCTACTCCCTCAGACTTTCCAAATCCATGTTCCAGTGGAATGCCAGCATTTGAGGTAAGTTTGATACAAAAGAATTTGAGCATGTTGGCTTTAATACAAACCTTTTTTTTTTTTGCATTAAGCATTTTAGTGCAAATACAGCATAATTAAATTATTGAATTCAGATTATGTAATTGCAATATGGAATGACTTCACATGAATTTCAAAAAAAGTGGATATAATGGGATCCATCAATGCAGTAATTAAAAAAAATATGTAGCTTGAAAATTGTTCATTGCATTTTATGAGTGTAAATTATCTGCCCTTTTCTGGTGAGAACAGAGAGTTCAGCAGGTAAATTAGTCCCAAGCAGAGGTGAGCATTCTCGTGTACCAGTGACGTTGTTCTGATGATTGGCATCTGCTTTGTGCACAGGCAATCTTCTTCAAATGCCAGATATTGCTGCAATTCCCTTTTCTGAGCTGCCATGAATACATCGATCCGTACTTATATATTGCCAGCTGTGTTAATGACCTGTGCAAGTAAGTGAAACAATTGGTATTTGCAATCTATTTCTTTATACAAAACAAACAAACAAACAAACAAACAAACAAACACAAATATCCAAGAGCAGATGGAGTTCTGTGATATAGCCTTGTCAGTGGCTTGCCAAAGAGTGCTAAGTGTGAAGCCCAAACTGGATTAACAGGCACTTATTAGAATCTGACTGTCTAACAGGTCGTTAAATGTTTTACATAGTGGGAACGGAATCTAGCGGCTTTTAAACATATTGTGCCACTGCCCCCCACCCTTTTTAAGATTCTAGAGATGCCTATAGAACCTTCTGTGCAACAATGTTTAAGATCCTCAAAATAAAACAATATTATGAAGGAAACTAATGGAATAGTCATCAAAAGAGTGAAAGGAATCAGTTTCTAACATACATACATGCTTTAACATATATTTCCTATTTAACAACTGCTGAAATCTGACATTGTGGGTACAAATAATCATTTGTAATTTCTACAGTTATAATGAGAAATGAGAACACATGAAAAAAAATAAATGAGACATGTTGCTGACAAAATTACATACGTTGCTAATAACATTTTGGGATTTGATTGATGCCCTTATGCACAATTGAAGGAAATGCTTAATTTCAACTGGAGATGACTAGAAATGCACCTTTAAGGTTTTTCTATTCATAGTCCCAGATTGCTTTATGTTATCCCAGGTTAACAGCACCCAGAATAGGAAGTTGTCTAGGCAACAAATTGATCACACTGTGTTTATCACAGAACTTAAGACAAATTACCCATTGTTGAACTATTTTTAAATTTTGCTTATTTTCAATTATCAAGTATACATGATTAGCCATCTTGAAGATTCAGGAGTACTTCAGGGATTTTGTATATCTGAATATTTAATGAGTCCCAAGAAATATAAATAGTATATTTGAATATTTTTATAGAACAGCTGACTAGGTTTTGGTCAAGTAAAGCCATTTTATTTTTTTGGTAGCTCGTTAAGATCTCTCCTGTTATCAAAGGTAATACAAAAAAAAAGTAGAAATAGTATTGAAATTATGTTACTTGTAGATACTCTTCTTTAGATTATTGTGTATTATAACAGTATATTGAATGTACTGGTCTTTTCTAAATAATAAAATAGCCTGATTTGCTTTATGGCTTGGCTTTGAATAGAGTGTAGTCATGCCTTGACTTGGGTAGATGATCTCAAAATCTAGGGGTTCCTAAACAAGAACAAAGCTCTCAATTATCTTCTCCTCTCCACTGATGGCCAGTGACCTTACTATGCATTTTTGAAAAAGAATTCTTCCCTCTCTTTTTAAAAAGTAAGCACTAATTGTCATGCCTTTGTTCTTTTACTCAAACTGACCTTTTTCCATTCAAGATCCACAAAGGTAAGCTTTTTCCTTATTTCCCCACTTATACAGAATTAAAAATTATTCTTTCTCCACAGTGGTTTGTGTCCCATTGTTTCAAATACCCATTTCTTTAATACCCATTTTTTTTCATAATCTGAGATAGAGCATCATTTGATATATTCAAGAAAGTCACTCTCTACTCATTAATTTGGCTGCTTCAATAGCCATAGTAATAGTGGATAAACTGAAATAGAATGTTTATACATCTCTCATTTAAAAGTTCAAGCCAGTAATTGCTCTTGGATTAACATTGTGGCTCTATTCCATAAACTTCACAGTGACTTTGCAGTCTTGTTGATACATGATGTCCTTGTTACTATTCTCAATTTCAAGGCCCAAATTGGCTCCTCTTATGTCTTTATGTTAGCTGTCAGAATAGGAGAAAGGAAACAAAGGGATAGTATTTTTGACCTGGAAGATTCATATACAGTCCTCATTCTTAGCCTTTTGGACCAGACCACTGTAGAAACATGGCTATACCTAGATGCACAGAAGGCTAGTGATGCCTCTTGCTGAGTATCCACACATCCAGGAAATATGCAAGGTTCTAATAATGAAAAGAAGGGGGAATTAGAGATAAAAGCATTGCTCGCCTATATCCATGTCATATAAACTTTCAGTGAGAAAAATCACTTTTTTACTTTATTTGTCTTGAATCTGTGATTTTTGCCTTCTCCAGGACAAATGGAGCAGAATAGTCAGGTAGAGAACTACTTTTTAGCAGTTTAAATTAACCGACCCTTAAGGCAGGTGTCTGAAATAGAAAGCCTGAGCTGGGGAAGAACAGCAGATCATATGGGAAGAAGGGCATTGTGGTTGAGTTTAGAGGACATTGCCAAAACGGAAGTGGGAAACTCCCACAGTACGTTTCCACTTCTCCTGGTATTTCTTTCAAGGCACACCTTTGCACTGTTCTTCTGTCCTTTTCTTCATTAGAAAATGAATAATTCCTTTATTTTCCTGTGCTATGGAACTGATTCCGAAGGATCCTGCTCAATGAAAAGGCGAATTGGTTGGACACACATTCATTTCTTGCTTATATTGTGATGACTTGTTGAAATTGAAAATGAAGCACCCATCTCTTGTGCTTCATAGCTAAGCAATGGGACACACATGGAAACATAGAAACCATGTCCACATAGTCTCTGCCCTGAAAAATTCAATTCACATAGGGTAGAGAAGCAGGTTCCCAGCCATGTTTGATTCTTGCTTGTGATGGACACAAGGGATCAAGAACCGCATACAAGGCTCCATGGAAGATGGAGCATTTGGATGGGAACAATACAATCCTTGTAATTATGCCTTCCGGGTTTTGCTTCTAAAACCTTGGCAGCAAAGAAACGATTTTTTAATTTTTTGGCATGTCAGAGTCCATTGAATTAGAAACAACTATTATTTAATGCTTGTTTTTCTCATTAGAGTTAACATCCAAATGGAAAATCAGCTCATTTCCTCTCAGTCAGTTAGGATAATAAATTCCTTCTTCCCAATTTGATGTGTTTCATCAGGTGCCATATTTTAATATTTGTTGCATTGTTTGGGAAGCCCCAAACCACTTTCTTGTTAACTTTCAAAATTACTATTAATTGAAGAAAACACACCTTTTAAGGTAAATCTCTTCCAGAAACTCAATGGTTTTTGACATACACTTCTTTTCAGAACGACTTTTCTTTCTGTACTTTTAGGACTTTCTAAGCTCCTGAAGTTATGTGGACAGGTTTCTCTTTTGCTTTCTAAAGCTCAGTTAATTGGACTAGATAAGCTACTTGGCTCCAATTACAGTAGCACAGAATAAGGGCAATTTGAGAAGGTGGCTTTTATAACAAAGACTGAAAATGTTAAGAGTCACAAAATGGAATGTTCTTAAGGTTATTATCTTTTAAGATGCTTAACTATCCAATTTTGAATATGGATTGGGTTGAAAACCAAGCTCGCTACCTTGTTAGAAACCTGTTTATTTTGAAAGCGCCTTGTTAATCTGCTTTGGGAACTGGCAGATCCCATAAGAAATTATTGTTTAGAGAGCTTTCTAAAGTGATTGCAAGAAAAATAATTAGAGATAATTTACTTGTGGCAATGTTGTAAAAATGTCGAGCTCCAGTGAAAGGGCTCAAAAATCTCCCTTTAAATCTCAAGTTAAATGTTATTTATTAAATCTTTCAAAAATATTTTGGACTGTTATGGCAAGGACTGCTACAGTGTGAGTGTAATCCTTTGGAGGGCCACGGACTATTGTGCAATTCAAAATGAGGTGTTTGAAAAAAAATGTTCCTCCTTGCTACGTTTGTAGAAATATAATTTTATCTGCTTTAATTTCATTTAAGTTTTTATCTGAATTTAGTGATTATTAAATTCTAAAATGCCTGTAATAACTTTGTGTAGATGTAAAAACACATATGAAGATTTTAAAATTTTAAATATAAATATTTTTCATTCTAGTTTTTACTTGACCCATAGGAAGAGTGTTCAGTTTATTGAAAGGCTTTGATAAAGGTGTTGCTATATATTGCACTAAATTTAGGTGGGTGCATTCATCTAGGATCTTTTGTATGTGTGTGTGTTTTCGATGTTTTTTGTCTGTGTGAAGTATGTCACGGAAGATATGCAATCTGACGTTCACTAACGTTAATGTATTCACCAAAGCCTCATTGCCTTTAAGACTCCGGAGGTCTAAGGTAGAATTCTGTCTCAATTGCCAAGTGACCCTGGCTCACTTTTTTTTTTTCTTTTTCTTTTTAGAACTGATGATGATGAAACTTACTGTCGAGCAGCCACTGAGTACGCTAGAGCCTGTTCGCACGCGGGCTTCCCCATTCAAGACTGGAGGGATGACTTCCCAGCATGCAGTATGTTTGTAGTTTTCAAACCATGTAGTTTACAAAAAGTTTCAATCTTATCTTAGGATGCAGTTTACCCAACTTCTCAAAACTAATGCATTGCAAAACTTTTCAAAATTGCTGACATGTTTGTAAATTTACCCATGTCCTAAACACTGTTTTTTTGGAAAGAGGATAAACTTGACTCGTAGCTTACTGTCTCCCTTTGCAGCGGATAAATGTGACGACAGCTTTGTTCACCGGGATTGTATCAGTTGTTGTCCTCCGAGCTGCACGTTTGAGAAGCAGTGTTTCGGGAGCGATCTTCACTGCCTTGATGGATGCTATTGCGCTGACGGTAAGCACCTCACAAAGAAGCCAAGCCTGCTCTCATCTCAAGTGGCACGCGGTTATATGAAGACCACATCTTGGCCTTGCTGTCCGTTTCCTAGACATCAGAGCTATGGCAACTTCATACCCCCCACCCCCTTTTTTTTTTAAAGCTCAGAGTGTTTTTGATAGCGTTGAACAGGGAGGCAGGGATATTGTATACAGCTGAACTAGGAGGCAGGGTTTTTGCATCCAGATAAAGAGGTAGGGTTTATGGTATACAGCTAGAGCAGTGGTTCTCAACCTTCCTAATGCTGCGAACCTTTAATACAGTCCCTCATGTTGTTCAAACTTCACACTCTTGTAGCACTCTCAGTCCTTGAACTGACTGAGAGGAATGCTTGCTTTTCTTCAATAAAAGGGATATTTTTTATTTTGTAAAAAATTCAGAAACTTGGAATCCATTATTTTTAATTCCCAAGGTGACAAACGTATTCTTTCACTATGTAATAGTACTTTACACATGTTTATTTCCTGGACTATGAAAGTGAGACTAGGACAGAGCCTTCACATTTTTCCAATATAAAGATTTTAGTCCTAGTGTGGTTTTAATGTTTGAAATGAAAATGACAACAAATGATGGAAGTGAGGTTTAAAGTTATCGTATGAATAGACATTTATAAAGAAGGCTGAAGATTTTTTTCAGAACTTCCACTCTCTCTATTTCTTTGAACATACACATGTGTAATAATTGTGCATGTGTGCATCTGCATGTGGAGACAGATATTATGTGTACTTCTTTATTACTCTTCACCTGGTTTTTGGAGATGGGGGTCTCTCTCTGAGTCACTGAGCTTACCATTTTGGTTAGACTGACTGACTACCAAGTTCTGGAATCCATCTGTTCAATAACCCAGTGCTGGGATTGCCTGAGCTCATCACTAGGCCTGGCTGCAGATCCAGACTCAAGCCCTATGCATGCATAGCCAACACTTTACCTACTGAGTCATATTCTCAGCCCAATGTTTTCCCCACCCTTAAAAAAGTACAAACTAGGAAAAGAAGACCAGGCATGCAGTCTAGTGCTAAAGTACTTCCCCAGTATACAAAAGACCTTGGTCAATCTCCAGGTCTCAAAAGGAACAAAATTAAAGGTCCTAAGTGTTCTTCCCAGGCCCTTTTCTGACTCGCCAGTGCACTGAACCAGTGGCAGTCTTGAGGTGTTTGCTTACAGTGAATCACTGGATAAGGATGTGACTTCAGGGCAGAAATCCACATGCTACAGTAGGCCAATTCTTTTTCCTGTAGAAACTGGCTATGGAAGAGGCCGTTGGATGAAAATGCTGATTTAAAATCTGCTCCATCCTCATTTACCTTCACAAAGTTGTAACAAATGCACTGCGCTGGACCATTGAGCTGCACTGTTCTTCAGCGTGTGCAGGGCAATAGTGTAAATCTCTTTTATCTTGGACTGAAAAGAACATAAACTAAGGATATACCTTCTCCCTTCTTTATTTCTCTTCCCTTAAATTCAAGGAAGTGCTTTTCAGTTTCCTTTCTTCTCCCTTCATGGGCTTTGAGATTTTGATGGTAAGTTACAGGATATCAAAGTTGAAAATCATTGAAGTAAACCTTTATAAGGTAGATACTGACTGAGGACCAGGCTGCTAGAATCCTCCCTGACAGTCAAGGAGTTTTTGTTTCTAGCACCTACCATAAGCAAGGTCTCAACATCTGATTGAATTGTTATATATTCAAAGAATGTAACCCTTACTATTTCTTTTGAGATTGTGATATACATTTTCCTTAAACAGGCCTCATAATGGACAATGGGACCTGCATCTCCTTGGAAAGTTGCCCATGTAGTTTCCATGGGTTAGCTTATTCAGTTGGTTCAAAAATTGAGCAAGAGTGCACTGAATGGTAAGTGGTCAATGGGTAGAGAATAATTTCTGGGTACCGGTCTCATTGACAACTTGGTCATGACAGGTATTTTGAAGAATCTACCCATTGCTTATCTTCACCTGCAAATTCTGAGATACAGTTTGTATTTTATTTGAACTGTACAGGTTCATTGTCTTTTTGTGTTTGTATTCTTATCATTTCCCTTGGTAATTTTATAAAATCCTATGCCCATATGCTACCTGTCCCATTTTGTTATTCCTAATCATTAATTAACACATACTTTTACTCTTAGAACTAGATGGCATCCCTGGGTTTCTGTAATGCATACTTTATAAAGTGACTGACTATTGCCAATTTTTGGTCATGATCAGTAAGATTTACAATTCCTTACTAAACTAGCTCAGGCTCTGGGTAAGCATGAAATTCCTCTAGGACAATCCCAAGTAAAAACTGAAGGTGGCATGACCTTGGCCCCTTTCTCTTTGCTGACAGCATACCCAAAAGACATGTTCTCAGATGTTGACATCATCAGAGACCCTTTCTTTCCTCAGAAACTCCTCTTTTTGTCAAGGTGGGAAGAAGCCTGTGTCTTACACAAGAAGACATGTCTTTCCTCTTATTAATGTCTCGTGACATTAAATAGATATATAGTGGATAGTCATTTATGAGCCATCCAGTTCGTAACTATTAGTCCAACTTTTTTAGAGAATTTTTTTTCTAGTCAGATAATAGAGAACCTATTATATTTTGTATATTAATAATATATTGAAGCAAATGTCAGCATAATTTCTGTGTCAGGCTAATATCTTTATAATTTTATTTAGTGTTTGTGTTGGTGGAGTTTGGAACTGCACTGAGCATGACTGTCCAGGTAATCTTTTCAAATGTTGGGAAAAAAAACCCTTAAAATCTTGAAAATATTTTTTCAACTTGGAAGGAAAAATAACACTTTTTTTGTGAATGTATCTCATATATACATCAAAGAGTATAATAATGTATAATTTACAAATAGAGGGTAATTTGGAAATTGAATACATGATACCATTGAGTAGGCAAATTTGGTAAGATTTTTGTTAAAATGGGTAAATATAATGCCTAAAACTACATGGAAAAGTTATCATTTAATATTTTTTTAAATGAAATTTAATAACTTGATACGTCAGATCAGTAAATCTAAATGAACACTTTAGATTTTCTTTTGAGGTGTGCTTATCTACCCTAAGTCATCCTCTTGTTCAGGAATTAACACAGTTTTCCCTCCCTCCTTCTCTGACTTCTCCTTCTTCATTTATTTTTGATAGTCCAGTGCTCTGTTGTGGGTGATTCTCATTTTACCACCTTTGATGGGCGCCATTATTCTTTTATTGGCTTGTGCCAGTACATCCTCGTGAAAGGAACTGGAAAAGATAAATTCACAATTACCTTACAGAAAGCTCACTGTGAACAGGTAAGCAACACTCCTAACAGGAAGCAGGAGAACAATCACACTTCAAAGTTCAACTTCACATCCTGATTCAATGACAGCATCGATAATAAAAACAGACCATTATTCTTAATGTACTGATTATTAAGAGGCCATTATTCTTAATATATCAGACAAGAATGAATGATGCTCACCGTCAGTCATGACATACATTGATGATGTGATGAGCTTTGATTTTAGATATATTTACATTTGAAAACACAAATAACTAAAAGTTATTTTCATATGTTGTTTTTTTAAAAAACTTAATCCATAATTTTCCTATAGGACTAAGCCTTAATTTATTCCCAAACCATCTGCATAACAGGGTTTTTTTTTTTATATAGGATCCAGTAGGTTTCATATCATTCTAAAGGGATACATAATGTATAATTACACAATATATAATTCTTTGACTTATTATAATATTGATGTTGGATCTTTTGTTTAAATAAACACATCAATAATTTGTTGAAAAAGGAGAAAATAATTTCAAAAATTTTCAAAAATCTTTAATCAATCAGCTTGGGGAATCCTGTAGAAGATGGGGAGAAAGGATTGTAGGAGCCAGAGGGTCAAGGGTATCTCACAAGAAAACCACAGAAACAACTGCCTGGGTTCAGAGGGGCCCACAGAGTTGGAAGTGACAATGAGGGACCCTGTGTAGATCTCACCTAGGCTCTCTGCATATATGTTAGAACTGTGTAGCTTAGCCTTCTTGTGGGGCTTCTAATAGTATGAGAAGGGGCTGTCTCTGACTCCTTTGTCTGTGTTTTTGACCCTTTTCTTCCTACTGGACTGTCTCATCCAGGCTTAATACAAGGGGAGGTACCTAGTCTTATTGTAACTTGGTATGCCATGACTGGCTGATAGCCATGTGTAACTTGCCCTTTTCTGAAAGGAAACAGAGGGGGAGGAGAGGTAGTGGAGGGATGAGGAGGGGAAATTGTAGTTGGGATGTAATATATGAGAGAAAATGAATAAATAAATAAATTCCAATAAAAGGCCATTTCCAACCAATATTATAAACTAATTTCTTTGCTTTCCCTCCCCCCGCCCCAGATAGTTTGTTTTGAGATTGGCTCTTGCCTCAAATTTGTAGCATTCTTGCTCCCTTAGTGTCTGGAGTGCTGGGAATATACCTGTGAGCCACATGCCTGGCTCCACCTTGATTCTTGTATTGAAATTTATTAGTGTCAGAATTAGCTTTATAAGTTGTCCTAAATTGCTTGGTTATACAATAGAATTGTCTTTATTGACAAGTTTGTTAGTGGTACTAGCTCCGTGATGGACCATGTATTATGGAAACTAATTACTGGTACTTAACTGAAAATGTGGTTATTAAAATTTTATATAATATATATTATATTTGTTGTACCATAATAAACCATATATTGCTAGGGGTGGGAGTTACATGAAATGAATTGTGTATCAGTTGCTTCATTATATCTATCACTGGCATCCAAGCCTCCATATGTACCAGCAATTCTTATTTGTACATACTCTTTCTCCATGTTTCCTCTCTCCCCCTCCCTTCTCCTGCCTTCCCTGTCTCTGCTCACCAATACTTTGCCTTTTATGCAGAACCTGGGTTTGGTCTGCCTTCAGTCGATAACTCTAATTCTGGAGGATGATTTTAACAAACAAGTGACACTCAGTAGAGGAGGCCAAATCCTCACCAGTCCCAACCAAGGCTTCACGCTGAATGGTAAGAAGCAAGGCTGTGAGTATATTAGTGTGGACAGCAAACGCCACCCAAAGGGCTCATTTTCTCTTGGTTGGCGGCACATCATTTACTGGGTGCTTGTATCACTCCACCAAAAATGCTGGAGGCCACCATATTTATTGTTTTTCTCAAGCGGCCTAGAATTTGCATAAGCAAACAGTATCTTAAAATCAGATGACATAGACTCCAAGGTTTGTATAGGACTTTGTGGGTTGAAATGAGGAGTAGGCCACCCAACACAGGGAAAGGGCTTTCAGGGTCAGGCGAGTTTTCTGAAGGAGATGATGCATCACTGACCATTTGAAGCTGAGCAATTCTTAAGATTAAAGAGGTGAGCTGGTGCTTCAAGGGGGGAAGTGAGAGGCATGTGTGGGAAGCTTGTTTAGGGGACGATGTAACTGGGTTGACTTTGATACATCCTGGACAGGGTCCAAAGAGACTATCTGGATCTGACGTCAGGAAAGCAGGTGGGGTACAAACAGTATGGAGAGAGCTTCGTATGTGGTAGTTTCCTGAGATGAACCTTGTTATGTCTGCATTGCAACATAGATATAAGAACATTTTTTTCTCTCACAGTGAAAACTCTCAGAAGTGTTCCAAATCACGTGTCAATGTTACGCAGGCATCATGCTAAGGAAAATCATATAGAAATGAATATAAAATTGTTATCGTTTCACCAGTTTATGAAATGGCAATCTCACACACTTTAGCCAAATAAACAGTGATTTTTTTAAGGAGCTGTAATTTATTTGTTTTTTTTTCTTTTGTCTTCCTTTTTCTTTGTTTTTTGACTATGAGGACTATGAGCAGTGTGGAAGCAACTTCAGGTGTTAGATATTGGACATACAACATGCTGCATACTATATAGTGAGGCATGGCAGAGCTAAGGAGGAGCTGTTTCATGGCAGTGGGAGAGGAGACAGATCGATGAGGGTCAATAGAACACAAGTGACCTGCACTTACTGCTGGATTCAGTTGGGCACGTTTGAGGGAGGCAAAGAGGAGAATGCCATGATCAAAGAATATTTCTCAGATTTATGGCTTTAGGGACCACACTGAGAAATTTAAAATCTTAAAAAATATATTGACATAGGAGCAAGGAAGAGCTTTTGGTGACAAAGTCACTAGTTTAGTTTTGAACATTGAATTTGTCTGTAAATGTGTCTCATAAAATAGTGGTTAGCAAGAGCTGTGCTTTCCATTTTTTTTTTTTTTTGTTGGCATTCACAAAACTGTAGAAAAGTTTTGAGGAAATTGTTACTTCCTAATGGATCATGGCCATTTGGATAACATATTATACTACACCACTACATCATATACATACATAGACACATACCACATCCCCCATACAACACACACAAACGACACATACACACAATACGCATACAAAATGTCACACACCACATCTCCACCCCACCTCCACCCCATACACCCCCATATAACCCCATACCACATCTCTGCTATACTATCCATCCCCACCACACACACACACACATATATGTATAACACACACACACACACACACACACCACCTGCTGTGAAAAAGATGGTTAGAATTCAAACATCTAAGATATTCAAGATGTTTGACAATGGAAATTACATGTGGACAACAGTCTATAAGAAATACATGCTGAAGACTAGGAAAGGGGGAGAGAGAGAAGGAAACAAGAGGAAGAAATCAGTCACTAAGGAAAGATTTAGCCCTGGAGCATAGGCCAGACCTGCCATCTGGCCACCCAATTCCAGGTGTCATAGACGGAGATGTCCAGTGCTGTGCTCTGCCATTTCAGAACACTGCCTGTATGTGACAACACTGTTGTATATATGCTCTTTTCCTACAGGCATTGTTGAAATTCAGACTCTGTCATCCCTCTTCATTCTTCTAAGAACCACATTTGGTTTAAAGATCTTGTTTGCTATCGATGGAGAAAGAATTTATATTCAACTCTCCAGTGCGTGGAAAAGAAGGACATTAGGTCTGTGTGGCACCTTTAACGGCAACATCAGGGATGATTTTCTGTAAGTATGATTTATGGACAGCTCATTGACTTTAATGACTGTCAGTTGAGAGGAAAGTGATTCATTAAAAATGTTCACATAACTGATATGCGGTCAGCAATCAATGGCTATGTGCTCCCCATATATCATCATATTTATTGTATCACTATCCCCAATTAGTGTCCTTGTTTTGTTAATTAGAGAAGAAACTGAGTCCCAAAGGGAAAAAATCATTCAAGGTCACTTATCTTAGGACTTTTTAAAGTTTTCCCATTTAAACCCCTTTTATCCATGCAATTTTATGCAGTCCTAGGTATATCAATATAACATAGAAACATGTATCAAACATCTAGTGATAATAATCTACAGGGACAATTATTTTGAACAATTATTTGCTATAATATATTTTTACCATTTATTAAAGATGAAAGCGAATTTGCATACTAAGAAGATGAACGTGCTTGTTCATTTTTGCACAAAGAATTGAATTGAATATACCATACTGCAGGACATACAGCATCTTCCACATCCCCCAGATTCACTCAATATTTTGATTTTTGTAATCACAAACACTGAGAATGCTGTTTCACACAAATGTGTAGTACAAAATGGTAGAGATACATTTAAGGTCATTTCAGATGTTCTTAAAATTTTTTATCCTAATCTTAAGCCAAAATAGAATGATTTTTAAAACAAAATGCAAATCAACAAGTAGAACAGTAATCCTTAAAAAATGAACATTCTACCACAATGTAGTCCAAAGGTATATTAATTTGATATTTACATGGGGGGATGGTGTTAGGAAAATATTAACAAGACATTTTCTAAAATAAGGCTCTATGCTTGCGTAAGAGTAAAAATCTTTGTACAGTTCACACATCGTAATTCATAACACACAATATTCTCAAGGTGTTCCAAGCAGCATTTGTTGGTGCTGTGTGGCATTTCAGTATGTGAAGTGTAAAGGGTCTGTTGTGTGTGTTCAGAACCAAAGTTGCAGTACAGTCACACAATGCCACACAATTGAGTGTTGAGAGAAACACCTTGGGTCATAACATATTTGATGAGATGTGATGGTATGTGTGTATTTTATGTAGGCCAGAAGTCACCCTTGAGTGCTGCTCCTCAGGCGCCACCCACCTTGTTTTTTGAGACAGGATCTCTATAGGTTTGGAGCTCAATGATTAGTGTAGGCTGGCTGGCCAAGCCCCAGGAATCCAGCTGGCTTTACTTTCCAAGTGCTGGGGTTATAAGTGTGCTCCACCATTTTGTACATGGGTTTTAGAGATAAGAAAATGTCTCATGTAACCCAGGCTGGATTTAAACCTATAGTGTAGTCAATGCTCATCTTGAACCCCTGATCCTCTTCCTTCTACCTCCCAAGTGCCGGTCTTACGGGCACGCACTCTGCATGTGACTTCATTGGTCTTGGAATTGGGTTTGGGTGGTTACCCATTTAGAAACCTTTGACTGTTGCCAAACTTTTCATGACCTCTTTTCCTGTGCATGACTCCATATGTGTCATGACCACGGTTTAAGAAGCTAGGACCTAGCTCCCATTCTGGAACGAGGCTCGGACTTACGCAACGTGACTCAGGATGTGGCTGCCTGCTGCCTCCTGTGTGCTCCTTTGCTACATATCAAGTTCAGTGGTCTGCTTTTAGCAACTGGCAGCCTTTTAGAAATCTTAGTATCATTTGTATTCATTATTAATTGCAGTGAGTACTGGTGTTATTTGATACCACTGTTAGCTATGAGACAAATTTTGCTAAGTTCATTGGATTTTATGAAAATTGGTGTTGCATTGGCAGAAAAACAATGCAATATGTTTGTCTCCCTTAATAGGAGAATGTGCTTTGCAATACCCGTGAGAATCCGCAGTGCCTGGTTCAGGGTCATGGTGTAAGTACTAGCCATTTGGTCTGAAGCCTACTGGGAACCAGTTAAGTAAGATGACTCGGTTCTTATCCTCCACAAACTGATGTTGCAGTATCAGGAAGGGATTTTAATCATTAAGAAACATGGAATTAAACAATAACAACCCTGATGCTGGGTCATGGTGGCACACCTTTAATCCCAGCACTTGGAGGGATTAGAGGTAGGCGGATCTCTGTGAGTTCCAGGCCAGCCTGGTCTACAGAGCGAGATCCAGGACAGGCATCAAAACTACACAGAGAAACACTGTTTTGAAAAACCAAACAACAACAACAACAACAACCAACTAACCAAACAACCAAACAACAACAAAACAACACTGATGGCTGTCGGGAGTGGTTAGGAGCTGGGCTGAAGGTAGGGTTAATGGAAGGGAGTTGTTGATCAGTGGATGAAGAGAGATCTGCCATTGAGCACAGTGCCAAGAGTCAATGTGTTAGATACTTGAAAATTGCTAGGAGGCTAAATGGCAAATTTCCTCATGTAATAATGACAAGAATATGAGGTGGTACCTATGTCCATTAGCTTGGCTTGACCATTGCACAGTGGGTACATGAAATTTTAAAGAGCTATATTGTACTACATGCAACTTTAAGCTGGCCCATAATAGCTATGTAAAAGATTCTAACTAAGAAATATTTAGTGATAGGTGAGACAACAACTAATAATGCATATAATATATTAAGGTAATTTCAAAATAATAAATGTTGCTCTTTGTGGTCATAGCCAGAAACAGAGTATAATAAGTATAGAGGTCACTGTGGCCTGATCATCCAGGGAACATGTCATAGAAGAGCTGTTCTCTAAATAACATGTGTTTTTCCCCCCTCAAATACCTTCATACATAATCTTTCTCTTTGTGGTTCTTTCCTTTGTAAATGTTGGTCATGAACACTGATTTAATATTCAAACCAAGCAGACATTATTTGCTTTTTAAAATTTAGTTTATATGTAGCCAAAGTCAAATCTGGATTAGCTGTTAGAAGAATATTTATCATTTATCAGTTTTCTCACCAAACTGCTAGGGCTATGAGCATTAGGAGGTGACCCTTGGTTCCTGTAGTCATAGGACTTGTCCATCCTGGATGGTCAACTGCATTGAACAGGACTTTTCATTGCACACCAGGAAGTGCACTGAATGGGCAAGGAGAGCTGACATTTTAATTAAAAATTTAAAAAGTAAAGTTTATTTTACATTATCTCTCATGTCGTTTATTTGCTTTTAGATTTTTTTTTTTTTTATTTACCTGAAGTTAGAATAACAATGTAGCTATCACATTTTCCAAACAGAAACCATGCTAGGAGGCTTGGCTCAGATGTCCAGAAAAGACATTAAGCCCTCTTTCTTGGCCTTGTTTGTCAGAATGGGTTAGCAGTCAGTGGTTAACAGATGGCAGATCTGTCTGCCACTCTCCAAGGCACCAGGCTCCTCCATGCATAAACATTCAGGCGCGATAAGAATGCAGGATAATATTTCAGTCAGAGATAACTCTTGAACATTGTTTAGCTTTCCAACTAAAGTAGTTAAAATTCTTTACTTGACAAAGGTTAATGCGAATCTACAAACATAGTTTAATGGAAAAATATTAATTGAGAATTTGTTTTACATGCCCTGTTAGGGTAAGTCAAGTATGGTGAGCTGAAAGGCCATTTTATAAAGTGAAACACAATAAATAAACTGGCCTACATTCTGGTTCCTATCTTTAACAAATTTATTGTTTTAAGTCAACTAAATGAAATAAGAGAGCCAGGCTCTGGGTAGCTCCTCCTGGGAACCCTGAGATATTTTGCTTTCCTTGGGAGGAGGCAGGGAGAATGAAGGCAGGGGAGAGACATTAATAGAACTCAGGCAGTTTCTTGAATCTTAATACCTTCATCTTAACAAAATGAGACTTTTATATTAGGCTTCTTATAGGTCTTTAGCATTCTGGGGGCTTGTTGAGGAATAGGAAACGGAAGAAGGAAGAAGGAAGTCGAGGGTCAACTTCCGTAGTGTCTTATGCACCATTTTCTTTCTCTCTCTTCTCTGTCTTTGAATAAGCAATCTCAGCTAGATGGTAACCAAAGCACACATCTTCTAGGGTGCTAGGAGAGTGGAGTTCAAACCTACACTTCTGTTCAGACACAGCGTAGCTGTAAGCACAGGCCTACACACCCTTCAGGAGACTGGATCCACCTTGATCTGTGCAGTAAACTTCACAGAGTTTGGCACAGTGCCTGGTTGGGAAATCACTTAGTCAATGTTGGCTGTTGAATTAATGAGTTTTGAGTGCTGCTGAAGGTGGAATCTCATATTTGGTCCCTTGATGTTGTAGTCTCACTTTAAAAAGGTGGTTGTTTCTCTTCTGCTTTAGTCTGCTGAGGAAACAGAAGATGTGGGGAAACTTGAAGGAAAGGTCACATTATATCAGTTTTTGCCCCAATTTTAATGTATTAATTTTGCTTAGTATTTCAGGCCTTATAATATAAATTGATGCAATGAGCCAAGAGTATAGATTATTTTACCCCATACTCCTTGCCATTAGCTTGAAAGACCATGTGAACTATGTACTTCTAGGTCTCCACATTTACCCCAATCACACTCAGATTGAATTTTTGATTCTGTGTGTTATGCTTGGTTATCTGAGTGGGAGCAAGGCCTGATCTTTTGTTTTCTTGGATACCAGCTTAATGAAACAGATTAACATTTCTCTGAGGTACTGCTTTGCTTTCTTTATAAAATGGGCATAAGGTTGTTTTCTTCTCAAGGCAGAAATGAAGATTCAGTAACATTATACATGTCCATAATCTAGCACCTTGAAAATCTTAATAACGGCACGCCAACATATCTATATCTCTTAAAAATTGACAGAAAACTTGAAGTTCTAAGATTTATTTGAACATTAAGCAAAATCGTATTTACTTATTTGAATATTTGAAGGCTACGTGCCTATAAAATGAATGAGAGAGACTATGGTGAGCATTTTCTTGGCTTTCTAGTTCTCCATCAGGCATGATAGAAGGAACGCCACAGCTTCATGCCCATGCGTGGAGAGTTTCCTCCACTTGTTTCGCGCCTGTCCATGTCCCGATGGTGGACCCCTGTAATATTAACCAACAGAACAGTAAGTCTTCCTTTCTGCATGTAGACTTAGGGGGGATGCTCAATATGTTACTCTAATTTTATAATATTATGCTATGATTTTAAATTATGATTTATTCATTATGATAAGAGCACTGCCATTCCTTATGTGTTTTTGTTCAATCATATGCCTAAATCCATGCCTTTGAAATGCAATTGAGGCTATTTAAAAGAACAGAAAACAACCCATTGCTTTGCATTTAAAAATTTATACATCATGGGTATTTATAATTTTCTTCTACTCATACACAGGTCGTATTTTGGTGTTTTTGGATTCTGGAAACACTCTCACACTGCTGTTATAGTTTAAGGATGCTCAGCTTCAGTTTCATAGTGTGGTAACTCAAGTGCATCTCCTATTTATTCTTACTCACAGCAGCTGTTAAAGCTTTATATGCAGGGGGCCCATAACTTAGTTCAGATGTGCTGGGAAGAACAGATAATCTTGCTCCCAACACTTTAAAAAAGAAATGTGTTAGATGTTTTTAAGAGGATTGTTAATCACTCCCTCTTTTTAATCTCAAGAGTAGACTGGAATCTTGGCCTATATGATTTATTACTTTGAAGTCTCATTTCCATTTTCCCTCCTTTCCATTTCGATATTTTAAAAACGAATTTACTTCTGCACCTAATCTTATTTGGTTTTTAATACCTTGTTTCTAACATTGATGATTTCCTTCTTGCTACTGCAATGACTTTATTAGTTATCAAATTACCATGTAAAGGTTTCAGTGGAATTCACTTGATAAGCTGTCCCTTCTGGCTGTGCTTTTATTAGCCTTCACTTCGTATCATTTCCCCTATTTTCCACCACTTTCCGAAACTCCACACTTGATGCCTTCTGTGGTCCATGCTTTAGAGATTTTCTTTTTTACTTTAGCTGTGAACTATGATTTCTTAAAACTCCCAAACAGGTAAATTAAGAAAGACACCCCCCCCCACACACACACACAAACAGAAAATAGATAAAAAGACAATAATTCTGAATAGGATATTTTCTCACAAGGACCTTCTTGAGTTACCTTTTATGTAACAACAATATGTTTTGATCTACAGTTTCTTAGAACACAAAAGAATGGTCTTTCCAGTGCATGATTTTACTCTTTCAGGATTCTTGGGGTTAGGACTACGTCTCTCACAGTGGACGGTCACTTGTTTTGCATATGTATGCATATTTAACGCAAAAAATAGTACTTAGGTAAATAGCAGATTTTGCCTTCTTGTGGCAGAGAGGGGGGAGTGGGGGGAGGGAGGCTGGGGGTGTGGGAGGAGGGAAAGAGGGGGAATCTTTGATTGGTGTGTAAAATGAATGAAAAATTTTTCCTAATTAAAAAAAAAATAAATATGCCTTGGATCTGGGAGGAGTGGGAAGGTGAATATGATCAAAATACATTGTATAAAATTCTTAAAAGAATTAGTGAAAATGTTACACATAAATATACTTGATGTCCACAACAAAAGAAATTTGGTCTTGTTCCTTGAAAGCAAAAAATATCTGATGTCCATCTGTCTCTCAGTGCCAATGACAATACAAAGACTGGCTGATTTTTATCTACGAGGAAACCAATGCATGTCAGGTACATTTACATCAAGGAACCACATACCTCACCTTTTCTCCTTTTCCTGAAAGACAATAGCTCCCTGATCTTGTCCAACTTGTTTCGCCAGTCCTACACAGGATTGTATTTGGTCAGCAACTGATCTGAAGTTGTGATTATAGGAACCTGCTTCAAATAATATGACGACAGTTATGTCTCACAGACTTCAAAATACATTCCAATCGCTAATTTCTATTCACTGTTCACCCAACCCCTCACACATCGATTAAGTCATCAAACAAAAGAGAGCTCCTCACGCTTGCCAGACATTGGACACTGTGTTGTGCAGATGTTGAAATGGATGACTGTGACATCTGCCCCATTGTCTTTTACCCCGAGACGCCATTGGAATGCAATGATGGCCAGTCCTGGGATAATTGTGTTTTCTACAGACTTGTCATTACATCCATTATCTGAACCACTCTTGTTATGCACGGAGGCCTGGAAATACTAATCCCCAGTCCCTCAGAGCAGGTTTCCTGAGGTGACCCTCAGGCCTGGGCTGACTGAGGCTACTGCTTCTGTCAGCCCATGCATTGCTCATGTTATTTTTGGCTAAAGGACGACTGAATGTGTTGTTCACACATTGATTTGGTGCTGTTCCCTGTGTAAGTTGCTTGACTTCTTGGCTCTCATTTAAAGGAACAATACCTTAGGAAAGGGAGGTACTCAAGTAGTTTTGGTAACCCACCCTTCGAGTAACATCTGGTCTGGTGTATGAAAGATTCATGGCTTCTTGTTCTGTCAGTTGGGTATGCTGCACACTGTGACGTCATCCACCAGGAGCTCTTTGCTCCTTGTCATGTCTACGTGAGTCCGGGGCTGTATTATCAGCTGTGCCGCCATGATGCATGCAAGTGTGGGAGCTCCTGCCTGTGTAACGCTCTTGCCCACTACGCCTACCTGTGTGGCCAGCGTGGAGTGCCCATTAATTTCAGAGCACAGATCTCATTCTGTGGTGAGTATGGCGGCACAGGCAGATGACCAGGTAACTCTTTTGAGGGGTTGGCATTCCTAACGGCCACTTTTAATTTTTTTCAAAGAGAGGTCAATATTGTATATGAGTTATTTGAAATGTTCTTATAAGTGTGTAAGTACTGAAAAATAAACGAATACTGTTTGTTTAAAGTAGATATATGGTGGATAAAAGAACTTATAACCTGAGGAGTGGGCACTATAATGCTTACTTAGCTTGCTTCACTTAAACTCACTGGAAGAGGGAGAGGGAGGAAGGAAGGGAAAGGAAGAGAGAGACACACCCACCCACCTCCACACACATACAGAGAGAGAGAGAGAGAGAGAGAGAGAGAGAGAGAGAGAGAGAGAGAGAGAACACCAATAACTGTTAATTATTTATTACAAAGTTAGAGTATGATTATGTATCTTGAAAGAAGCATTAGAAATAACTTGAAAATTTTGAGACTATTTTTATCCTGGAAATGTCATATCCAAATATTGAAGAATATGGAAAAAGTTGATGTTGTGAGTGACACAGCTGATCTATAGTAAGTAGGTCCAATGTGCACTTGGCAGTTACTCTTTCATGTTCTTGAACTCTGCTACTTCTGGTGATGATGTCTGCTGTTCCATTTAAGGGAAATTCTGTATGTTTCCTATAATTATTTTTCCAGCTAGGACTCTTGGGCCTCTTTTGTGTGTGTGTGTGTGTGTGTGTGTGTGTGTGTGTGTGTGTGTGTGTGTGTGTGTGTTTTAGTAAGTTTCCTGAAAACTGTTACATTCCCTGTTGACACACAAAAGCAGGGCTCAGCCTGCAAAGCTGGAAATAAACAGTAGCCCTTAGGTCCCTTATACATCTAACCCCTGCCCTTGTCCCTCTTTCCATCAAGGCTTCTCATCTTTGAGAAGTCAGCTTGCAGTTCTTCCAATTTCTGGACGTTTTGGTTATAAGCCTAACCTTTCATGGCTGAGCCATCTCTCCAGCCTGGCTCTTCCAATTTCTTGTTTTATAAGGGACTTTCCATTCCACATGAGTGAAATCCCAGATCTAAGATGACTAGGACCAGCACCCCGCTCCTCTGCTTCAAAGCTCTGTGTTTTATTTCCCTCTTTACTTACGGCATCTGGAATCCTCTCCACTCTTGTGCTCACAAAGTTACATCACACATCTAACATAATTTTAATGGTGTTTGAATCAGAATGGTCAAGGTGTTTGCTTTAGAGTATCTTAAATTTTTGTTTACCTTAAATAAAGGAAAAAACTCTTAAAATCGAATTTTTATTAGTTCTTAGAAATTTTCAGATGTTTTTAAATTTACTATTATATTTTTGAGAATTTTACACATGAGGACTCTGTATCATTTCCACTCACTTTTTCCCTCCAACTTCTCCAGTGTCTCCCCATTCCCTCTCAGTAATTATGACCTCTTCTGTAATTATTATTATTGTATATCTATGTATAAATACCACCTGCTGAGTCTATTTAATATTGCTCATATGTATATGTGTTGAGGACTGAGCACTTGGAATTAGACAACCTATCGGAGGGCTTCCCTCTGGAGAAGACTGATTCTCAACAGCCCTTAATTGCCTATAGTTCTTCATCTGGGGGTAGGAGCCC